GATCTCTTGAGCCTAAGGAATTTAAGGTCCCTCTCTGCAATGTAGTAAGATCTTGTTCAACAATATAAGAAGAGCTAGGGATATAGCTCAATGGTAAAACACCCCTAGGGTCAGTCCTCAGCATTACAAAAAAATAAGTAAATAGAAGTGAATTAAAATTTGTTAACATTTATTTGTCAGTATTTCAGGATTGGCTTTATGGTAAGTTTCAGTTTTTTTCTAAACTAGTAGTAACTGTTTCTTTTGGATTGATAATAGAGGAATGTTCATGTAAAGAATAAACAGCTGTGTTTGCTATGTGGTACATTGCTGGGCACACAGTGGGTTCTCGTACAATTGTTCAATAAATGTGGAGACAGTTAATACTATCATTTGAGTATGTCTTTAGGATTTTTTTCATATATATTTTTCTTTTCCTGAAAGAAGCAACATAGGGATCAGAATATGTAAATGGTGTGTTATTTGTGGTCTTTAAAGAAATACTAAAAGTTTTTTATTTTTACTTTTTATTTTCATAATTTTTTTTTTTTTTTTTTTTTTTTGGGAGACAGGGTTTTGCTATGCAGTTCAGGCTGGCCTTGAACTCACCATGTAGCCTAGGCTGGCCTCAAACTCATGGTTGTCCTCTTGCCTCAGCTTCCTGAGTGCTGAATTAAAGGCATGCACCACCGCACCTAGCTTCATTACCATTTTAAAACAATTGTTGTTTCATAGTAGCTGGAAGATTAGGATTCTTCTGAGGCTCTTGGCCAGACACGCCTGACTTTAGGCATGTCTTCCAAGTGAAGCATAGGTAGTGGTTGATAATGGACCCTCTAAGTATATGACTCTTTATACCCTCTTCCTGAAACTCTGCAACAGTGTCTTTTATCCCTGTGGTTCTTGTCTGAGTTGAAGTCTTCTCACTTAGTCCTAATCATCTCCTCCTCTTGTCACTCATTCTAAACTCAACTGTGTATTCTGCTTGTTTCCCTACATGACTGTTCCTGCAAGTCCTGCGTCTTCTGTTAACTTGCTTATATTAGTAAGTGTCGGGTTTTGGGAGGCAGTATTCTGGGGCTGCTATACTGTAGAACAAATTCTTTTTCTGGTGAAGCCCTACTATTGACTTTTAAAACTTTAAATTAGTAGATTATCATAAACCAAAATTAATTAACTGTTATAGCTGCATGCCTTCCTCCAAATCGATGGAGAAAGCAAGAGAAAAATTTATTGGCTTATGTTAGTTTAACCATTTTCTTCTCTGTGACAGTAGAAACCTTCTAATAATTCTTTTTTTTTCTTTTTTTAAAAATTTTATTTAAGGAGAAAAAGAAAAAAACCAGAAAAAGGGTACAAGTTATACAGAATAAAAAAATAAACAGTAGGAAATCACTAGTTAATAGATTACATATTGTCATCTTAGAAATAGTTGTTCAAGTTACAAAATTAAAGCATATAAAGTAGGCATTCAAACAGTGAGACTGCAAACAGTTCTGTTCAATGATCGAACAAATACTCAGTAATATGGTTAGCTATCTTATATGCTTAAATATATATGCAGTTATATCCTTTGGAACACTTTCTTTTCCTCTCTTTTTTACAATGACAATTACACATTTTGGGTTTTATTACTCCCACAGTTCTTATTACTTTTTTTTTGAAGAGAATAAAACCAAATATGACATAACAAAACAAGAGTCAGTCAAATCAAAAGGATGGACACAGTACATAATGTAAAAACAGAATACAAGGTGATCAACAATGGTTCTCAGAATGCCTCTTGCTATCTTAAAAAGAATTGCCTATATCATCAGTTATAATAAAATTGAACAAAACAGTAAAGAATAAAACCAAAGCTTTGGAGACATTACAGGACTTCAAAAGAAGATAATAGTCAAACCAGAATGGGCATCATAGTGAATCTTACTGTCTTCACAGTTGTTGCCTATGCTCTCAAACTTGGTACTATCAAGCAAAACAGAATAGAGTAAAATCAGTCAAAACAAGATGGTGAGAGCAATACAGGATTTCAAATCAAGTTAATAGGAAATCAAAGTGGGTTACTATAATATATCCTGCTATTTTTTATTTATTTTTCCCTTAATTAAAAAGATAAAAATTGTGATAGCTCGGACACCGGAATATAACCCAAGGAAGCAAGAAATTAAAATTTGGGGAGCAAAGGCTTTATTTTAGGCCAGGCCTGGCGATGCAATCCCTGAGAGCCAATTTGGAGATTGCGCACCTTACAGTTGGGGAATTAGGCTTTTAAAGCTGAAAACCACAGGAATGTTATAATCGCTGACACAGTTAGGTAGCATCTGGGCTTTACAGAACTTCCTGTAATTTCCTTGAAGTTAAACATTTCTTAAAGAACAGCATTTTTTATTATAGATAACCGGATGAGGGGTAGGGAAGGGGGTTACAGGAAACTGATACCTAAGGCTTTTACAGTTTTCTCAGAAAATTGAAACTTAACCTAGAAAGATAGGAAGGGAAGCGAGGGGGCTGAGTGGCGCATACAGAACAGAAATGAGGTGCAATGGTTACAGCTAGGCTATAACAAAAATAAAAAAATAAATAATAAAAAACGGAGATTGAGATAAAAGAGGACATAACAACAAAACAGCACAGGTCAGAACATAACCATTTAAGCAAAATAGTAAACCCGCTAATAGTTCTTACAATTTAAGCTCTCCCTTGGTTCTTTGGATAACATTGATCATGTGGCTAACTTGGTTTTATCGTATGTGTCAGTGCTGATTATATTTTTTCCTCTTTATGAAATTCTGCCTACAACATTACCTACTTTATAGTTAAAAATAGGTCCATGATAGAGAAATCCATACCGACTGGCATGATTAACCTGGCCACTTTCATAAGCCTCAGCCCCGTCCTTGCATAGTACAAATAAACTTGGCATCTTGTAGTTTCAAGCCTCTTGAATATTATGTATTTCTTTTGACATCCAATCTAGCAATAGAGTTTTTATTGGTATTCTTCCGATATGCATGTAAGGAAGCCACATGGTTAACATTTATTAAAAGATACGACCTATTTTGCAGGACTTACTGCCTACTTAGCTTGTGAGTAATTAAAATGTGATGTAGACTGATCACTCCAAGAACATAAAGCTAGCATAAAGTGAGCAGGAGAGGTAATGGAGGAGAATGTCTAAACGTTGTGGACTTAGTAGAGGGCCCTGAGGACTAGGGAGTCAGCCTAGGGCTTCCTGAAGGGACAGTGACTTGAGCTAGACCTTTGCAACAGACTGAGTGAAGTGGAGGAAAAGGAAAAACAAAACAAAGCAAAACAAAACAAAACAACAGTCGAGCAAAGGCCTGGAGTCATGTCCATAGAGAGCCTGGTAGGCACGTGCAAGGAGGGGACTTGGAAAGCAGTGGGTCACGAATGTCAGAAGGGAAACCCTGGAATGTGAGAGATAGGAAAGAAAATTCTTAAAATCCGGGCGTGAAATGATTGTAGGAATATGGATGAGGAGTTCAGGCAGGTGTTCAGGCAGCAGTGGACAAAGGAACATTTCTAAGGAAAAATCGTCAGAATTCATTTTATGGAATTGTGGAGAAGGCATGGCAGGAATTTACCCCTGGTGAATTGTAGTCATTCATTCTTAAAATGGTTAGATCAAGACCCAAACCACAAGGCTCTTTTCCAGGTATTGGGAATTAAACATATAGACATTCTGCTCTTTGATATTTCCTTGCTAGTGTTAAATGTATTAAAAATTTAATGGCAACAATTTATAGATCATGGGACCTAATCATCTAGTTCAAGATTCTTTCATAATCTAAAAGTCAAGTGGGACACATTGATGCCGACTCATCTGATGTCTCTGTGAAATCAACCTGCGGTATTTTCTTATTTCAGAACTAAAGATAAGAATGAAACTGTTAAATGGAAAATGATGTATTTTACAGAGCAAAGGGAGTGATACTACTCTAGATTTTGTCTTTTACCTCATAGCTAATAACTTTCAGAGAATGCCATGGAATTTAAAACAACCAGGGAATTCTTGAGTCGTGAAGTTTCTTTTATAAAGAGATTGAATTAAAATTAGGTGCATTTAATAACCAGAAGTGAGCCTGAAGATTTAAAAAAAAAAATCTTCCCGATTCTTTTCTCTGGAAATGTCCCCTTTCCCACCACCTGAGCATCTGTCCTTACTCTTCCTCCCGTCAGCTCATCCGTAGGTTGAACAAGTCTTCAAAACTTGATGACTCTGTCAGATATTTTTGTTAGCTCAGTTCTGAAATGGCATTATCTTATTTTACTTTCCAATCTTGAGTTTTCTTCAGGTTTTTATGTTTTACACCGGGGATCAAACTTACAACCTTTCGCTTGCCAGGCAAGCGCTTTTGCCGCTGAGCTAAATCCTTGGCCCTCTTCAGTTTTTTAAGGTGAAAAAATTTGTCACATAATTCCTTGATGAAAAGAGTTGCCATGAAAAATAAAGACATTTAAAAAATAAAGACATTTGAAAATTAAAGTATGATTTTTTTCCGTGTCATTTTCAAAGTTTGGATTATAAGAAAATTATCTAATTAAAATTTGATGCACTTAAATATTCAGTTAGTTTGGAAAATTTCCTTTCGTTTAGTTGACAGTATATTTCATATCATTTTTATGGTAGCCACAAATAATCTAACTGTAACGACAGACTCTTAAGGAAAGAAGAGATTTGTGCATAATAAGATTGGTATATTTTCATGTACAAAAGGAATATTAAAAGTATTTTTAAGGAATGATTAAGATCTGAGCTACCTTTTTAGTTTTTGAGACAGGGTCTCATTATGTAGTTCAGGCTGGCCTTGAATTCACTATGTGAATTTGTAAGAATCCTCCTGCCTTGCCCTCGAGTGCTGGAATTATAGGTGTGCACCTCCATACCCGACAAGATCTGAGCTACTTTAAATGTATTATCTCTCAGGATCTGAATTTCTCAGTTAAAAAAAATTATATGTCTTAAGAATGATTTGACATTTTAAAATTTCTTTCAGGTAAAAGTGCAATTTTAAAGTGTCTTCTGGATATCCACAAAATATTTCAGGAAAATGACCCAGCTTATATTCTAAATGACCTCTACATCTCGGATTACTGTGTGTGGATTCAGAAAGCCAAGTAAGTTTGTATTACTAAGGAATTTTTATATGTTCACATTTTTGAAGCACCACTTACCAAGAGGAAGAAAATAAAAATAACCTAGGTATGTGGGGGTTTTTTGTTTTGTTTTGTTATCAGGGATCGAACTTACAACCTCACAACCTCATGCTTGCCAGGCAGGTGCTTATGCCACTAAGCTAAATCCCTGACCCCTAGATAAAAGTTTTAAAAAGAAAGAAACCCATTTAGCAACCAAACACTGTAGAACTAGACTACATTGAGAAGCTAGCTGAATTTGCTTAAGGAAGAAGGTACAGATAGGGAAAAGTTGATTTTTATTAGAAGCAGTTGGTATTGGTATAAACTGGAAAATAGTGCTTTAACGGAAAGTTTTGTATATTCGTTGCTATACTCATGCTGTCCAGTATGAAATCTCAAGACTGAATGTCTGAACCTGCACCTGTAGTTTAGTGGGTAGGGGGGGTTGTACATTCACATTGATGTTTGTAAACCTGTTTGGGTGCAAACCCAGTCCCCACAAGAGCTGTGCATTCACTGACTGGTCTTCTGGCATAGGGAGCCCATATTTCAAAGTAAAGAAAATACAACAGTCAGAGCCTAAGAGCGTGATTCTTTTGATCACATGTATTGATACATGTGAATACTTACAAGTGGCCTGCAGCGCTTGGCATGTCAAATTTTCAGAAAGCTTTTACATTGCCTCAATCAAGAAAACATAGCAGGTTAACTATAAAATTTTAAAATTTGGTGAGTTTTTATTTAGTGAAGGGATTCTGTAGATCTAATTCTTGTCACATGTGGCCTGGTTATCCATTTCAGTAGCAAAAAGTGTTAATTGGAGGCATAGAGCTTTTGGTAGGAAAATGATGACGAATACCAGCCATGGCTTGGAAAATAATCTGATAGGATTTTCAGCGCGGTTAGAAGACAGAATATAAAATAAAGTGGCCTTTATTTTGAGGATGTGGAGAGAAACTTCATGACCACTGGGGTCTGGCTTTCCCTGCCGTACACATGGTTTGGGGGTCATACATATAGATTTGATCTGGAGTGGTGCCTAAAAGGGCATCGCTGATGCCCAAGCAGCGCATTGGAATTCATCTTGTGCAGCAGGTAAATTGCCTAGGGGCGGAGAAAATGACCTCCAGGTAACTTCCCTTGGTCCCGCCTCTCACTGCTGTAGTGCACTATCTAGGGCAAAATCCTTCCAAATTATGTTTTTTATTATTATTATAGTGATTGGTAAATGAATGCCTTGGTATGATTTTTGCAATGGTTGTTTTGACTGAACTGTTATATAGAATTTATTTTTAATTTCTGTTCATGGGAAAGGAATTATAGAGTAAAATATGAAAAATGAACAAACAGACCAACTTGAAGTTATACGTGTTGTATAGGAAATGCTTAGGGATTGCTCAAGATATTACTTAATAACATACAGCAGGTGGTGTCAGAATTTGTGTTGGAAATCTAGGTTTGGCCAGATGGAAAACTGAATCTTTAACCCTGAGTTCAGAATGGCATGTCATCACTTCATTTGAACCTCCTGCTAATTGAACTTATCACATGCAGTCCCCTGCTGCCATTTCCTGTTGTTACTTCCATTTTCATTATAAAATTAAATTGAAATAGCCTATCTGAGAGGGTTTTTTTTTTTTTTGAGAGTAGGGATTTTATAAACACGCAATGAGTATCGAGGTTTGTAGCAGGATCCCATCTCCATAAGTACTTATTTTTCTGTTTGTCACCTTCCTTACTAACAGAGATCATGTTTCATTAAAGTAAAAGGATATAGGTCTTCAGATTGATCTGGGGATTATCAGACTCACTTTCTCTTAAGAATTTTGTTTTTCTCTTGGTTTTAAGTTGTGGGAAGTAAGTGAAATTCTTAGGTTGTTAACACTTCTGATGAAGGTAATTTGTTTTTGAAAAGGAGTGATACGTGTGTTGGAGAGAGAAATAGGAGAGAGCAAACCACTGGGAGCTCTTTAAACAGTTCCTTTAAAAGCGGATTCTTCAGGTTTACCAATTTGAATGTAACTTTTTGTTTCTCTAAATGGACTGCATTGTTTTTACTTTGTGTGTTGTGATTTATTTTTTCTCTTCTTTTGAAATAAAACTTTTTTGTGTAATTTTTATTATAATTTTTAATTTCATCCTTAATTTCCTAAGCGCAACAAAATTGGACTATGTAACATCATCATGCTGTGAAGTTTCTCAGCTCTAAATCAGTTTTACTAAAGAGTATGTTCATGATCTTCACAACTAATTTTCATCACCTTTTGCCTTCTGGTTTATTTCTTCTTATACCACTGAAATGGAGTACCTTATTTTCATGTTTTAAAACAGTTGTGTATTTTCTTTAGCCTGTTTTTTGATAGTTTTGATTATAATAATAAAAATTGTAAAATTTTATTTGAAATACCAGACAGGTGCACAATTGTAATAGAATTCCATTTTTACAGTCAGACATTTATTTTGGCACAAACTTGTTGGTCTGTAGGTAGCAAGATCATTCCTACATGAAATTAATGACAGTAGAGCAACAGATTTCTTAGATATCTGTGTCTTATAAAAGATATTTGCAAATCTTAAAAATGCTATAACTTTTTTTTAAAGAGATTAAAGCAGAAGAGGACAGAACAAAGCAGATCAGAACAGAACAATGTAAGCAACACAAGACAATCCAATATTAACAATAGCTACCATAATGTCTCTTGCTTTGAAATAGTGGAGCGTTACCTTCACATACAGTAGTATCAAACATAACAAAATAGTATAAAACTATTCAAGAGAATGAAAGTGTTACAGGGCATTCAGAACCAAGTAACAGAAAATGAACAATGGCTACTATGTTATCTCATTTTCCGTAAAAAATTTGTTAATACTATCACACATTAAAATCCAGTAAGATACAACATGATAGAACCAATGGAAACAGAAGAACAAAAACATGGTAGGATTTCAAAGCAAGACAATATTAAATGAGCAATGGCTATCATAATGTCTTGTTTTCTTCAAAATAGCTGTTCATACCAACACACATAATAAAATCAAACAAAACAGAATAAAACCATCCCAACTAATGAATGAAAACATTATAAGGCTTCACAGCTATGTAATGGGGAATCATGATTCCCATAAAATCTTATGTACTCTTACCATTTCTTACACTAGGGAGACTATACTGTATTTATGCATGTGAGTTTGATCTATTTCACTTATGAGTATGGTCTCAAGTTGCGTCCATTTTTCTTTATAGCTGAGTAGTACTCCATTGTATAAAAATACCACAACTTTTTTATCCATTCCTCAGTTGATGAACACTTTAGGTTGTTTCCAAGATCTGGCTATTACAAATTGTGCTGCTATAAACTTGGGTGCACATATATCACTATAGTATGTGGTATGTTTTCAGTTCTTCTGGGAATATGCCTAGAAGTGGAATAGCTGGGTCAAATGGGACTTCCAATCCCAGCTTTTTGAGGAATCTCCAGGCTGATCTCCACAGTGGATGCACCAGTCTACACTCCCACCAACAGTGCAGGACAGTTCCTTTTTCCCCACAGCGTCTCCAGCATTTGTTGTTGGTAGTTTTCTTCATCTTGGCCATTCTTTCTGGAGTGAGATGGAATCTCAGTATTGTTTAAATTTGCATTACTCTAATGACTAATGATGATGAACATTTTTTCATTTGCCATTTGTATTTCTTCATCTAGATCTGTGTATTCATCTCAGATGCCCATTTTTGGATTGGGTCTTTGAATTTTGGAGGTATATGTTTTAGACTGAAGTCCTTTGTCTGAGGGACAGTTCACTAAGATTTTTCCCAGTTTGTGGGTTTTCTTTTCACTATGCTGGAGATTTCTTTTGACATGCAGAAACTTTTTAGTAAGACATGATCCCAGTTAATGATTCTGGGAAGTATTTCCCGTGCAGTTTGGTTCCTGTTCATGAATTCTCTACCTACCCCTATGTCTTCAAGATTTTTACGTACTTTGTCCTCCAACACATTTAGTGTTTCTGTTTTAATATTCAGATCTTTGATCCATTTAGATTTTAGTTTAGTACATGGTGATGGGTCTAGTTTTAGTTTTCAGCAGAGCCAGTTTTTCCAACACCATTTATTAAAGAGACTGTCGTTCTTCCAGTGGACATGTTTGGCCCCTTTATCAAAGAGAAGGTGGTTGAGTATGTTTGTAGTTGTGGTTGTGTCTTCTAATCTGTTCCATTGATCTTCAGATATGTTTTTATTTCTGTACCATGTTGATTTTATTATAGTAGCTTTGTAGTATAACTTCAAGTCAGGGATTGTGATGCCTCCTGCCTTGCCTTGGCTGCTTAGAACTAACTGTCTTTGCTATTCTAGGTCTCTTCTGGATTAATTTTAGGAGTGATTTCTTTAGATCTATGAGATATATTGATGGTATTTTCAATGGGATTACATTGAATCAATAACAGTTTTTGGTGAATGGCCATTTTTAAAATATTTATTCTTCCTATCCATGAACAAGGGATGTCCTTCATTCTGAGATCCTCTTCGATTTCTTTTTCAGGGTATTATAATTTTCCCTGTATAGATCTTTTACTTCTTTCATGAAATTAATTCCTAAGTATTTCAATTTTTTGGATGCTAGTGTGAAGGCTGTGGCTTCTCTTATTTCTCTCTCAGTGATTTTGTCGTAAGTGTATAGGAATGCTATTGATTTTTGAGTATTGACTTTGTATCCAGCTACATTGCTGAATTTATTTATTATATCTAAGAGTCTTTCAATGTAGCTTTGGGAGTCTTCTATGTAGAGGATCATGTCGTCTGCAAATAATGATAATTTAACTTCCTCTTTTCCTATCTTTACCCCTTTTATTTCTCTCTCTTATCTAGTTGCTCTGGCTAGTATTTCCAGTACTATGTTGAATAAGAGTACTGATGAGAGATATCCTTGTCTTGTGCCTGAGTTTAAGGTAAAGGCCCTCATTTTTTGTCCATTTAATATGAT